AAGACTGATACATGGTATGCACAGTGAGCATTTAACGTTTAAAATTAATGGCATTAGGTTTAAGTTAATAGTTTGGATGCTTTTGCACCTATCTATGTAAAGTTATAGGTATTTTTACCCTTTTTCTCACTTTAGAATATTAGGTGCTCATAGCTGATCACTTTGTGAGTATTTTTCCCCCTTTACTCATTTTAAAATAGTGATGATTTGATAAATACTACATCTAAATAAGCTATAGTGGCCCTGCTATAAAATGTTTCACAATGAAACTTATCATCAGTATCTATTATATATATGTGTGTGCGCGTGTATATATGTATATGTATTCATGCATGCATGTATGAAGAATAGTATTTTTTTTATTAGAAACAATTTTTTCAAGGCATGGTAAAACATTATATTAAATATGGATATCTCTCCCTATGAAAATTCAAACATGGGTTTATTATATTATGAGAGATTAATCTCTTTCTCTTCGGCTAAACCTAACCTTGATTGTTACCCCACACACTTTGCTTACATGAGACCAGTCACATGTGCAGTAACTTACTGGGCATTTCCTTTTGTTTTAAGAAACCAAAATTGAAGAATACAATAAGTTCAACTATTGTCCAAGCAACTGACTTAATTAAGTTGACCTTCACGCTGGCTTTATTAACTTTTATCTATACAACATCCAACCACAAGAACTTCACTGCTGGATCCAACAATGTTTTGGTGGGTTTCTTATATCCTTCCTCTTTGGATCTTTTTTATTTGGAGGTAGTTTGTTTCTATCTGGAAAAGGTCCACCATGAAGTTGACGTATGTATTTTTTTCTGCATAATTCAGACAAATCGATGGCCAACAAGAACATCAAAGATGAACTGTTATGTATTCCTGTAGTTGTGCACCCTTGTTAATTTGCAAGAAGGATTTGTTCAACACCAAGACATATATTACCGTCACAAAAATATTTGTTGGTGTGACGGAATAATCCTTATTCTGCCGACAATGCAACAAGAGCAGGAACATTAACGTAGCACAAAAATATATATTTAGTAGAGATGTGTAGTGTCATGATATAATTGGTTAAAAGGAAGTGTCATGGTGCGTTTGATACAAGATTTTCATGACTTGGGGTCAATTTGGCCTATCCTATATATCTCTTGTCTTCTGAGAATTGACGCAACTTGGAGGAATTAATACTGTATGAGACTTGAATTTTCTTCATTCAGGGTCCACTTGAAGATAATGTATGATAAGTAGGTACATGCATAGCGTGAGTTTGAAGTCTCCTAGCTAGCCAGCTAGCTAGTTATCCAATGCTACAAGTTTTAGTCTCTAGGAATTTTGTTTATCAAATCTAGCTTGCTGAGTTAAAAATCAGAGATCAAGAACATTGCTGAGTTTTTTACAGATGTCCGAGTAGACCGGACAATTAATCTTCCTTCAAAAATTAGCTAGCTAATAAGGTTGGAGAATTAACTCAGAATATTCTACACACACACATTACTTAAGTTAAGACCGGATATTGATGTTCATCTAGAAACCAATAACAATAACAACAAATTTTATCCAATTAAATGGGGTCAGCTACTTAGATGTAGGTCATTATGCTCTATTGATGGCCTCTGAGTATAATATTAATTAAGATATCTCATTCAACAATTTCTATGATTATTTTTTTTTTTGTTTTCTCTATAGGGCTCAAAACCATATGTTTTATACTTCTTACTAGTGTCTTCCACAACCTTTTTTTTAATGTTCAAAATATTTCAAATGATTTTATATTATTTTTTCATTCATAGAATATGCCACATCACTTTTTCTTATATATGCTCTGAATATTATCTTTTCATGTATTACAAACCAATACATGCTAAAATTTCTTCATGATTGGTAAACAAGCCCACGTATTGAAACATAATTAATGTTAGTTGAAAGAGAAAATAAGACGAGCTACGGGGAGAAGTGAAAAGATAATTCGTATATATATGTGGAGACTTTGGCTTGGCGATGAAATTTTCGGTAATGATATAAAATAGAAAAGAAGATTATTCATGTTTCGTGTTCTCTTAATGAAGATCGTTCGTAACCAAAAATATAATTAAATGCAGATTATGTTGAGCAGATTTGAAATCTACTACCCTAAAAACACTAGTTGGTTTAGCTTTTTGTAGTAAAACACAAACGATAAAGCATAGTAATGTATACATTAATTAACTCACTGTTTCTAGACCAATCTATATGATAATACGAACTGTTATAAGCAGCACAACGTTATGTTCAATAAAATCAGCTTCACTTCTGCACCATCGAACTGAAACATAAAAAATTGACAGTATGCTTTGATTTCTGAATCCAGAAGTGGTAATACAATAGAATATACATGCATGCATATATCCCTCATGGGTTTTGTAGTTATTAGCACTTTCATATCCTTGACAGAGAAAGAGACACTTTCAGAGACACAGAAAGGCTTTGTCCTGAGAAATGGGAACATAGAAACTAAATAGGAAATGGTCACATACAGAAATAGCAGATGATGAGAGATTACCACCGACACGTGTTTGGAAGACACGAAGCCTTGTGCTGTGTGTTGTATTGGGATTGAAGGTTTTGGTTTTGGGCGGTGGTTGGAATAGCAGAAACGTTTCTCCCATACCCTTTCTCTTACAGATTCTTATCCAGATTTTATATATATGGAATGCAGCTAAGCATTCACTTGATCACGCTTCATCAACCTTTTCTTTTCTCTATCTGTTTGATTTGTCTTTTGCTTATTGGCCTGACTCATCAGTTTGATCCCTTTTCCAAAAATAATATGGACACGTGGAAGAGTCCCATTTCAGAAAAAGTTCAATTATGTATTAGAAGTTAGGTTAAGATTATGTGTTTATTATATATTATTATGGCCAAAGCTATCCACTGTTGGAACATATGGAGACATGCATTATCCTCTTTGATTGAGTGCAGCTAAGCAATGACTTGATATTGTTATAATATTTGGGGAACTTGTTTCCAAAAACATATGTACACAAGAAAAAGAAAGAGGAGAAATAAAATAAAATGATACAAAAATTAATTGAAGGTGTCTTAATCCTTTAAATAGGCATACATTTACAATTATTTGAAATTTTGGACAAAAATTATAATTATCCAATATTTGATTACACTTATTAAACATCATATATTTTGTGATGATCAAACTAGATTTGATCACAACTACTATTTCAATTAGACATCATTATGTAATTCAATGATTATAATAGATTAACAAGAAAAACCTATGGTTTAATATTTGCAGTTTGAACACACAGAGAAAAAAAGGTACATACATTAAACTTTTTATTTTTCTACAATTTCTTTAGCGATCCCTCTAGGGTTCAAATCTGTTGTCTTATTCTGACACAGATTCTAATTATCAACTACTTATTTTTAAGAAGTTTTTTTAGTTATTAGCTAGAATATACTTCTAGTTCTTTAATCTGACATAAAGAAAACTCCAAATATTACACGGTGAATTTTTATATGAACAAGAGACATGTGAGCCGAGAAATTAGAGAGTTTTTGACATCCTAAATTCTCTAAGGACATTATATCTTCCATCATTGTAACATTTTCTTGGCTCACATGCAATAAAATATTTTAATGTAAATGGGGGGCTGACTGGGAATGATTCAAGGGGGAAAAAAAGTAATCAAAAGAAGACATATAATTGTGCATGACATCAACTCCTATGACAGCTTCCAAACAGACAGACTTTGGGGAGCAAAACCCCAAATAAACAAACATTAAATTTAGCATTTTAAAATAAGGATCCTTCTAAATGAGATAAAGTGGACAAATACTAAACAAAAGGGAGGCATGTTGCTTTGGGTCAGGAAGATCTCAGGCAGGATCTCCTGGAGTTTACAAAACCCTCAAGAAGATGCATATATGATTATGAAATATTCCAACATCAACACTGTTATTTCCTCCTCATCTTTGTACATTATCCTTATCACTCTGCATTCACCCATATCACTCTTCATTATCTTGTCTCCTTTGTGATTCAGAGTAGAAAAAAGAAAAAAGAAAAAAAGCCTTTAGCTTTGTGTTGAAATTTGAAAATATGGAAAGGCCAGAACTTTCTCACCAAGTGCAGCCTTGTCTGGACTCTTCCAAACATCACTGAATGTGGTGTCTTTATTAATGATTAGAGATATTTTTTCATGGATTCATAGCTCCTGATATAAAGATACAAATGCAGATGTGTAAAGGAATCCTACCTAATCAAGTAGGATGACATAGCCTTTATCTAAATTATATATATGCTTCAAGTATATCATATAGATTCAATACCAGCCCTTGAACTTGTCTTGCTTTACCTAAAAGGTTGCATTCATGAGTAAAATCAGGAACTGTCTTATCTAATAATAAAATCACAAGCTGCATGGTTTTAATTTATAATGGAAGCCCATTTGCTCTTCTCTCTCTCTCATGAAATTTAATTATTAGGTAAATCAAGAGTCCTGCAGAAAGTGTACCTGATACACTTACAATTTATGTATAAATGATGCCTATTTATATTTTATGACCCAACCTGCTTTGGAATTGTTAATTTTCTCGTCAGATCTTCTAGGTTTTTCCTTTCTGAGTAGCAAGGTTCACGGACATTTTGATGAGAGTGGGAAGTGGAGAGTACCAGTACTCTATCATCTTTAATCCCTCATTTTTCCTGAGGACATAAGGTTTTTGTTGGTTCACAGATGAGAGAATAATACCTAAATCAAATATGAGGGTTGAGGAACAGATTGTGAACCCCAAGAATGTACTGCTCTGCTAAAGAAATTTCGCATTTCCAAAGCAGGAAGTTCTGCTATAAATTTTTAATGCAGACACAAGATCTGATCTGATTCATCTTAACTATGCTTCTGACACGAAGCAGTTTTTAGCATACTGAAGAAGCACATGATATTGAGCTTTAATAACTTCAATATTCAACACCGCAGGAAAAAAAAAAATAAGGAGGTGAATTATATATTGAATGATTTTTAAATAAGAGATGATGAATATTGCTGATATAAAGTGAGCATGGGTCTTCATCAAAAACAAGGGAGCGAGAATGCTTATACAGAGCCTCTCTAACTAAGCTCGCTTGTATCCACTGTTCATTGACAATAACATTGAAATTTTGCTGGCAAAAAGTAAAAGAGAAAAAAAAATCTAACTTCTTGTTTTTTTTCACAGGTTGTTTCCCACCGCATTGACAGAAAAGAAAAGAAAGGAGTATAATCCCTTCTGAGATGAAGTTCCTTTCACACTTCAATCCTCTCTCCATTGGTTTTCAGTGACCTCTACTGCAACTATCTTCATCTCATTTTCCCTCCATACCACCTGCTACGGAGACACAGAATGCAATTGAATCAACACAGAATGCAAAATTTTCTCTCAGTGCAGAGAAGAGACAGTAGTAGAATACAATAACTTACTGGTTATTCTGAAGCTCATTTTGTGACATAGATGATTGCATATAACCAAAATGGTCTGGGAACGAGGATCTCTCCTGGAACAGAACAACTAATTGTGAATAAACTCTTTAACAAAGTCAAATCTCTAAATAAAATTGAAAAGGGCACATGCCCAGTACCTCAAAATAAGTTGCAGAGAAACCTTGCGAATAATCCAGAAAACTTTCTGTCGAGCCTTGTTGATTCGTCATTGTGACACTGTTCTGAAAAATAGTGAAGAACCAAATGAGAAAAAACATGCCCCACAACCCCATTACTTGTTAGCAATCAGAGATTGAAATTGTGTGATTCGAGTTCAAAATTTTACCTTGGAGAAGTCATAAACAGGAGAGCTTGCAGTGTCATCAAGCAAAGAAACCAGGTGTTGATTTTCTTCGACTTTCTTTTTCTCTTTACCAGTCTTCTGCGGTTTTGCTGTTTTTGAAGATATTTGAGGGTAAAAGCACCCATTATCTTCATCATCTGGGAAATGTGGAGGCCCAGAAGAAGCATCAGAAACCATAGACAGATCCTCATCCATAGCCTCCTCCTCCTCGTCCAAGACTCTTTTCTCTTTGCATTCATCATAAAATCGATTATCTCTATGCGAACCATTCTGGTTCAGGAAAGATTGTTCAAGGTACATAGTCCAACCAGACTCACACCCACTGCTGCATTCTGAGGCAAATGCATTCATCTTCCTGAACCTCCGATTTTCCCGGGAAAATCCGAAAAAGGGTGAGTGGAAAATGACGAAAAGAATGAAACTTTATCTACCGAAAGCAACGGAAATCGCTCTCTAGTTTTGGGTATTGAGAACCAGGTTGGATAGGAATTGCAGAAGAATGAGGAGAGAAAGGGACTGAAAACCAAGGCTTAAGTCTAGTGTCAATGAGGTTATGAATAGGAATGAGAGAAAAGAATGCCAGATGGTTGGGATATAGTGGGTGCATGGAAGAGGGAAGGCACAAGCTTTTCACATGCGAGACAGCGAGGCACTGTGTACCTCTTAACAAAACCAGGTACACGTCCATTTCTCCTTCCACAGTACATGGACACCTATCCCTTTGTGCAGTATTGTCACTCTCTCCCCCCAAGTAAGTTGCATCTGTGGTGCTGTTATGCCCTGCCTCTGTTCTTTCTATCAAATCTACCTTAGCCCTCTCAATTTCATCCTTAAAACCTTGTCATTATGTTTGTGTTCAAGAAGTTATGCTGTGTGTTGGGATAATGTTAAGAAAATTAAGCAGATTGGATTGCATGGATTAGCTTGCTCGCCATGTTTTTAATGATAGATTTAATACTAGATTTTTTTTTTTACTATCCACCCATGAGTGCCAATCTCTCGTGAGATCTATTATGCCCTAATGGTAACCACTCATTTATGCACGAATTTTTCATGACGTATTTCATTTGGAAAAAAAAAAAAAGCCATGCTCTGTCCATGTTTTTGAGTCCAATAGTGGCAAATTTTGAATTTTTGATAAGTGAAAGAGTGATTGTATATAAAAAGCAGGAGAGGATCTTGATTCCTTTATTTAGAGAGTCGAGATAATAAGCAGTCTTCTGTTGCTTCTTTAAAAATGAGTGGTGTTAGTCCATAAAACATTTTCTTTTAGTTTAAATTGAAGATGGGACCCTGTGAGAATTGTTCAATGTCTTGAATCCAAAATGGTCACTATTGGGTGTTCTGTTACCGTCCAATCAATAATTAGGAAGCAACATTCCAAAGATGAAATGATTATGATATTTTAAGACATGTGTTTCTGAGACTGTCCACGCATCATAAGCCTGATTTTATGATATTAAATTTGATAACAAGCACCAAAATGTTGAAATAAGAGAGAAGAGGATGGTGGATTGAGAGGCAGAGGAGGGATGAAAGTGGTCCAGAGATTAAATGAGGACACATGAAGAGAGTGATTAGGGGGACAATGAGGAGAGGGATGCTGTAATTTCTGCACGTAAACACCACACTTTTAATGGGATTTTGGGATGGTAAGCTTTGTGTCCCTCTTTTTCCTTTTATATCCCAAACATGTATATTCTGTATCTACGGCCTCTCTTCACCTCACTCTATTTTTTTGTCTTTTGATTATTCACATCTCATACCACAAATCCCATGTGCTCCTTTCTTTTTTCAAAAAATAACTTTTAAGGATCTTATAAGATCATTAATTATAATTAAGGCCTTTAAATTATTGAAATTTCAATTATGGGCCATGGTCCTTACTTGAAATTAAAAAATACAAGTTCACAAAATTACACTCAAGTAAATGTAGAAATCAAGTTATTGAATCTTGTTAACTTTTAAAATTTCATGTTATTTGAACACATTTTCCTTAAATTTCAATCTATTTTATCACAGGTGTACATATTTTGAACATTCAAGTTAGGAAATTGTGCATATTATTTTGAAAATTCAAACCATGATTCTATTTTGATTTTTTTAAAGCTAATTTAGTGATAATTTGGTTTAAAGTTATGTTGGGGGCATTTTTAGAGTGATGCTTTGAAAGGTATTGAGATAAAAAAAATCATGTGCAAAGGTGATTAATCATGCTAAATGAGAGAAGTATGCAAAACAGAGCAAAGTCATGACCAAATTCATGACTTTATTTATGACTTTTACCTCTAACAATAAAACATTGCATTTTATTTAGCTAAAAACGTTAGGGCTTGATGTATAAATGATGTTTGCTTGACTTAGAATTCATTCTTTAGACTTTGAGCCATCATTGAGAGCTTTGTGTGCTAAGGTTTTGGAGATGGAAGAGCTTGGAACAAATGAATAAAGATTTGAAGACATTTGAAGCTCCATTCTCTTGGTTTTGTTTGGTGCTTCTCCTTTTCTCTCTTACAATTTGATATTAGTTCAAATGCTTTGTGTATTTATAGTTTGTAGATAATTATGAGTAGTTAAATATTTTTTTAAGATTATTTAAGATTCTTGTATGGATTAACTTTAATTGTCTCCTCTTTTTTATGATTAATGATATATAAGTATCTATTTTACTCTTCTCTTAATGTTTCTAATTGATTGACCACCACTTAGATAATTATTTACTTGGGTGATACTTGAAAGGGCTAATTTTAATATAAAATTTAGATAAAATAGTGCAAGAACTTGATATTTGTATCATGAATAGTTGATTTTGTTAGTAAGATAAGGATATAATTGCTAACCTTACATAACCATATGAGGATTGAAGCCTAAAATTGGATTTTATTATTTATAACAAGAGATTGAGAAATTAATTAAGTTAAATAGTTGTTCATGACTTAAGAGAGTTTGTTCAAGTATTTTTGAAACTCTAGGTTAACACTTATTTTCATGAAAAACATTTATGAGAGAAAATAATTTTAATGTTATGAAATATAAGGGGGATAAATAATCCTAAGTCCTCTCATTTCAATCATAAAGTATAAGAACCATTTGTTTTTTTTATTTTCTATTTTTAATATAATTTGCAAAATCCAACTTGTCTAATTAATTGTGTTTTACTCAACTTAATTGAATTTGCATAATATTTTACTTGATCATATTTTTGATACAAATTTACGTGGGAATGATACTTCACTCACACTTTATTATTTGTCATAGCCTTTGCATTTGTGGAGTGCAATAAGTCTCACTTGAAATATCAAGAAAAGATACTATTAAAATTACTATTATAGATTGGAACTATTATTAAGTTTAGTTGAAAAAATCAAAATCCACGCTTGAGAATAGGTTGTTTCTTAATATAAAAATAAAATTTATTTGTGAAACTTTTAAAAGGCACTTGTGAATATATAATAGTCACTCAAAAATTTACCATAGCCACCTCTGAATAAGAAACCAATTACTTGTAAATTTTTATGCTTGTCAATGTATAGGTAAGCTACATGAAAAATAAAAAAAGATGAAACTAATTATTATTATTGGTTAAGACTATTGTTAATTTCAGTTGAAAAAACTAAAATCCTAAATGTTATGAATTCGAACTACTAAAATTACTATTATAGATTGGCATTATTGTTAATCTCATTCTCAAGTGTGGATCCTGATTTTTTTAATTGAGATTAACAATAATCCTAACCCATAATAGTAATTTCAGTGGTGTCTTTTTTATTTTCCAAGTGAGATTCAATTAGTTGTTTTCTATGTTTACTTGAGGCAATTTTGTAAATTCAATATATATTTTTAATTTCAAGTAAGGACCATAGTCCATTACTAGAATTTAATAAGGATAAAGGTACAAATTTAGCTACACATTATTTTTCAAGGAGCATCTAGTATCCTATACTATGGAGTAGCACAAAATAAACCATTAACTATTTAAAATGGAGCATCCAGTATAAGGTTGCCCTTACTAAACCAAAATGTAACCCTAATCTGTATGGTAATTATGAAACTAACCCAAATAGATTATCATTTTTTCAAAAAAAAAATAAGGTTAAAGTAATCAAAGTTGGATCCCAAGTTTTATAACTTTAAAACACTTTAAATATAATCTTTAATAAGTTTAAATTTGGAGTAAAAAAAATAAGTACGGAAGTATGAGATATCATTTTAAGGTCAAAACACTTGAAAATCAATTTAAAAAATATCAAGTAGCAAAATTAGAGGGACACACCACAGCTCCTCTTTTCTGTGCCATACATAGCATATTGCATACCACAAGACAATATAGGTGCTATCAAATGGTAGCACACTAGCACCCAAGGCCAACCTTCGACATGTTCTAATTCTTTGTCTAATTAAGATAATCTAAATGTCTATATAAAGCTCTTTCAAAGTTTTTGCCAATAATACTAATTTCATTTCAAAACTCTATTCCAATCAAAAGTTAGACACTCATTTACAATCTTATACATTTTCACACTTTAAACATAACTTAGGTGCTTAATTACTTGACAAAGTGATAAGAGCTCACAACTACCTTTAAATCACACTCATTGGACTCAATATCACCTGTGCACATATATACCATTGTATCACATTTTTATCCCTCAACCCCTTTAATATCAAAAATAGAAGAGGGAGATTTTAGCATTATATTTCATCAAAAATCATCCATATGATGTTTAAAACAACCTTATTATACTTACACTAGTATTTTAGCCCTATTAGCATTTACAATTTATCATGAACCACATCTCGGGGCCCAAAATACATTATAGACATTATAAGCATTTATATAGTGCAAGTGTAAAAAAAAATACATCCTAATTGCAATATTTAATCTATTACACAAAATAAATGAATTAAAGAGGCATTACATTAAGAATACACAGATTCCTAAGCTTCTAAAGCCTTTTTTCTTTCGATACCAAAGTTAGAGCCTATAAAATGTTAAAATAGAGATGTGAGTCTAACCACTCAATAACCAAGGTAGGCTATGCAGTTATATATCAATTAATTTAAACACCTAAAGTAAGTAAATGAATAAGTGAAATAAGGCTATTAACAAGTGAAGTAGGGTAATTATGATATTAATTTAAATAAAAGACAATTTTTTTATAAATTTAATATTAAATTAGTACCTTTAGATTACAGTGAAATTTTAGAAATTTAGAATATTTGAATTTAAATAAGTGTGGTCAAAAGGTTTTTATTGAAATTTTCCTTTTATCCTTTCAATAATTCAGGTCCCTAATTATAATCAATTCTCTTATGCAATCCTTATTGTCATTCTTTCTTTCTTTCTTTTATTTTTCTTTTTAATTTGATCTCACCCACAACTCCTATCCACCCTTAAATTATATTTACCTTCCATTGTTGTTGTATTTAGAGGATTGAGTGTGGGATTCTTTACTTGTACGTAAAAGATAAAATTAATTGGTGATTATCAAAGTAGCTTCATTCAGGGATGACAGAGTAATGATAATATTATTATTGCTTAAGAAGTCATACATTCTATGAGGAAGAAAACAGAAAAAAAAAGGATTTATGGCACTTAAGGTAAACCTTAAAAAGGCTTTTGACAGACTATCATGAAATTTCATCGAGGATACTCTCATCTCTATTGAGATAAACAATCACTTCAGAAAATTAATTATGGCTGCTATCTCCACCACTCATATGAAAATCCTTTGGAATAGCAAACCAACTAAAGAGTTCAGTC